TGGGAGGAGGTCCAAATTGTCTCTCTGCAGCTCTTTTTGCATAGCTGGTTACATTCAGTTTGAATTTTGCAAAGTAAGACAATCACTTACAGGTATTTATCTTTTTTTTTCTTTTTTGACATCTTTATGGGCTCAGAATGCTCCAGTCTCTTTTGCATCTGCACACTCTCCACCTCCACCTCCAATTACAGCACCAGCTGACGGCACTAACAATAAGGCCCATGATTGGAGAAAGTCTGTTTGACAAGGTATAGGCAGCTATGCACCTGCAAGGCTCCTCCTTGTGTGACTTCTGTGTATAAGACACCCCTTCATTTTCAGTCTAACAATTTTAGAAAAAGTATCTTATACATGGAAAAATACAGTGACCTCTCTACTCCACACCTTCCTCACCCATAAAAGGGGGACATTTCCACTTCCCTGACAAGGCTGCTGTGAAGATTAAATTAGGAGCTAATGATGTCTCTGAAATGTTAATGCAATGCCTGCACCCAGCAATCTTTCATTGACTTCTCACTGTTGCTGTTAGAATGAGTAATAACTAGGATGGCCAACATAGGTCAGTGTTGTATAACACTATCTGGTGATCAGAGACAAGAAGTTATTTGGAAAAACTGCTGTCACATTTTCTTCCCTATTTATAATCTCTTTTAAAGCGTTTAGACAAAGTTTATTGAATTTGCTTGGCCTCTCTTAACAAACACTTCTCATATTTACTCAGCCATGATGCTCCAAGACTGGGCTTTACCATCAAAGCAGTTGTACCTGTAGCTGAGTGATGGTATAAAAATAGAAACTTAAAAAATTCCCTGATAATGAATAGCAAGGAGAGAAAAGCCAGGTTAGTAACTACCCCCCCGCCCCCCGCCCAATCTTCGTTTTCCAGTTTAAAAATATTTGGTTATCATCTTTCTCTCTGAAAAATGCTGGATCATTGCTATATTTCTCTATGGGAATTTTGAAGAAAGCATTTATTCTCTCTTGTTCTAGCTTCTAACTAACAATTAATTGAAAGTACTGAAGTGAAAAATTTATTGAGAACCTTTAGATGATTGGATAAGAAAGCTGTGATACATTACACAATGGAATACTACCAGGCTATAAAAAAAAAGAAGAAGAAGAAATTCTTACCTTTTGCAACAGCATGGATGGACCTGGAAATTATTATGCTAAGTGAAGCAAGGCATTCAGAGAGAGACAAATGCCATACGATCTCATATGTGGACTCTAATCAACAAAATACTTAACAAACAAAATAGAAACAGAAGCATAGATACACAGAGCAGACTGACATTTGTCAGAGAAAAGAAGGTTTGGGGCGCTGGGTGATAACAGCTGAAGGGATTAAGTAAAACATACATACATATACATTTACATATATACATATACACATATACATACATATCAGTGCATGAAACTTGTGCATGGGGTGGGGGAGGTGTTCCCTCAGCCCAGCCTGCACCTTCTCCCATCGGGTACCCCTTGGGGGATGTCCAACCGCCAGATGATCAGCGCACGATGCAGTGTGATCTTTTATTAAGTTTTACACTTGAAACCAATGTCACCCGAATAAATTCAATTTAAAAAACCTTATACGCTGTGCCTCATAGCTGTGGCAAGATCAGAAACCCAAAGCTTCTCCTTCAAGGTATTACAATCATTCTCCATAGAAGAAAGGGTTAAAGAACCAACTGCTTTGGGCATTTGGGGTAAGTAATAATAGTTCTAGGAAAATATTAGCATGCCAAGTCAATGCACATATGACTTATTTCAAATAAAAAGCTATAACTACGGTTCTGGTGAGTTATATAGGGAATTATGTATTAATTTCTTATTACAAACTCAAAAAAAGCTAATTATCTTTTAGTTCCAGAAGGTCTAGTAAATAATTCTGTAAATCAAAATTTTTACTAATTAGTCTTACTGTTTAAGTTTTTTTTCCAAGTTAGTAAAGTTTTACACTAAAAATAAGTTTATTCTTAGTGAATTTAAGTGGAATTTTGTGGTGAAGGATATAATAAATGATTATGCTTTTAAGGTTGGATGGGGCTGTAGAATTCTCAGCCTCCTGGGCCAGTGGTACCCAGCACGTGTACCTGTACAAAGTTGAATTTCGGGGTGGAAAACGACAGTCCTCGAGTTAGGTTTCTGTAGCCAGTTGCATTTTTTCATAGTGAAGTCTACTCACCAGCTTTCCCCTCTGCTGGGCTGACCTGGTTTCTCGCAAGGTGTACACATCTCCGCAGACGGAGATCTCGCGCCAGACCCCAGGCTGGGACTCCTCAGTGAAGCCCCCTCTGGGATGCATCACCAGGACCCCATTTGTAGTGAGCCCGTCCATGTGGCCATCGGGGTTTTTCCATTTTGCTGCCTTTTCCTGGAGAATAGAGAAAGCATGCTAAATGAAGGGATTCCAGAATCTCTTTAAAATATTGGGTAGGTGCGGAGGGGATGGAAGTGGTGAATTTTCGATTTAAAGCGAATCAGGATAAAATATCCAGTTAGCCCAACAATATGGAAGAAGTGGTAAAATGGATGAATAATTTCTCTGCAGAGACACATTATATTTATCTCAGGAGCTAAAAAACAAACAACCTGAAGCCTGGGCCTCTCCCTCACAGATTTTTTTTCACAACCCACCCTCCTCCCTCCAGTGATTCCAGAATCTTCTGTGTATTTGTGCAGTGCTTTCATCTCATCATCGAAAGATGTGTTGTATGAATCATTATCAGGGAAATGAACAGAGGAGGGAAAAACATTTCTATTAAACATACAAAATTTCAACAAATGTGAAGCCAACAATTTGCGGCCACTGTGTTTTCATGAATCAGTGCAGAGGATGTGGGTGGAAGGCTCAGCAGCTTGTTGTGATGGCAGGACAGACACCTGGACACCTGTGCTGCAGGGATTTGGCTCCTCTCTCTTGAGGCGGATATGGCTCACATGACTCGGGAAAATCCTGAGTACATTAAGCCAGATCTGATGACTCCAGCCCCTTGCTAATGGCTGAGTTAGGGGTGGGCATGTGGCGGATCTGGCCAATGGGACCTGACTGAGTCTTCTGGGAGGCTGCCTGGAAAAATTTCTGGTAAAAGAGACAAGAGACAAGGGATAAACTGCCTCTGCCGCCTCTTCTTCGGCCAGAAGCTGCCGTGCGCAGGGGTGTGTGGTAGTGCCGCAGCATCTCTCACCCATGGGAAGACCTCGCCCAGAAGCTAAGTGCCCAGAGGGAGAGGGCAAGACAGAAAGACACTGGTTCCTGGGATGTCACAGAACCGCTGAGGCAAGCAACCCTGCAGTTGGCCTTGCTTGGCATTCCCTGTAATGTGGGATAATACAATTTTGTTATGGGTTAGGCCATTTTGAGTGTTTTTATTTTCCC